CTCCAGTGAGATAAGAAGTACTGTCCCTGGTTAGCTGATTGCCTTCCAGATTCCCTCTCACACCTCCTGGACACAGCTGTGGGTTGGTTTTTTTTTCTACTCCAAGAAGTATATCACTCACTGTTTACCTAAACTCCTGATTTTCAGGAACAACATAAAATAAGCTGGAGAAGTGGACGGTGTCCCTGTCCATGGCAGAGGGTTTGGAACTAGATGATCTCTAAGATATTTTCTAACCCAGACTATTTTATGATTGTATGAAACAAGAAGTGCTAACACCATCCCTTTGCACTACCTGTGTACCACTGGACTTGCTGCCACAGGTGCTGCCAACCTCCCAGGGTCTGTCTCTCTCCTCCCCTGTGCCTGCTGCACCCCCTTGGCCATCCCATCTCTGTAACATTCTCCCATGGCAGCTTGATCGGTCACTTTGGTGACATGAGCTTCAGCATGACGTTGACAGGAATCCAGGGCCCTCAAAGACTTTGTGTCAAAGCTTAAGCAACTGGGTTTCTTGTTAAAAAAAAAAAAAAAAAGAGGAATGAAATAAAGCACAGCTATCCTGAAGCAAGCAATGATGCACAGCTGTTTTATTGCCTGGTACAGGTAAGATATTTTCAGGGAATATATTCTGCCTTTTAAAGAGCCCGGGGCAGCAGGCCCTGGATTTGTTTCAGCTGCCAGAATCCTCTTACTCTTTCAGTTTCCTATTATCTTTATTTCCTTCTTTCTTTGTTTCTAGGCTGTGTCTGTTTAAAGTGTCTCAGACTCTTTCTTCAGCTCCTAAGCAGTTTTTATAGGTGCCTGTGTTCTCCCCAAGAATTCCTTAAATTGTCACTTCCTCTTATGGCTATGGGAAAGCCATGCTGTATTCTTGTCTTCCTTTGTATCCGAAGTGAGGAGAGGGAGATATTTCCCAGAACAATAAATATTCTGCCATAACAGGTTGGTGCAAGGCTGGGCCCCCTGTGTGGTGGTAGGCAATTTCAAGAATACCTTGTACTTACACAAAAGGGTGCACACAACTTAAAGGAAAGGCTGTACCACAAAATACACAACTTCCAAGGGCTCATTTCTGCAGTTGTATTTTAAGCTCGTGCTACAGATGAGTTTTATGATATTTGCTTGTTTGTGTTTTCTCCTCTGTGTTAACGTATATTATCTCCACAGCCACTAATTCTTGATATAAATGATGCTAAGCAGTAAAGTATGGTCCATTAACTTGATTTTTAAAAGTATCTAAAATTTACGCAGTGATTTAAATAATAATATAAATTATATTAAGTACGTGCAGCAGCAGAGGGTACGGCCTCCTAAACAGAATGAATTTCTCCTTGGAGAGCACTGATTAGTTCATTTTTCCTAATGAATCTTTCGTTGTAGTCAGAAGTTCCTTTTTTTCCCCCTCACTGTCTCACTTATGAAGCATGCATATGTATATATGTATGTTCCATTTATATATTTGATAGCTAGATTAAGTAATATCCTACTTCACCTCCAGAAAGGGCACAGCACTTCTCAAGGAGGCAGCTGCATTTCTTAGGAGGGGGAAACTGAGGCCGAGGCACTCCACCCATGGATCCTCAACCTGCTCAATCTATGGGCCAGCCACTTCCAAGCATATAATTCATGGCTAAAAAACACTCTGCAGAAAAGTGGATGGATACTGCTGCTTCTCTCAGTGCAATTTATTGTTGAGGCCAATTAGAAAGTGTTACTCCTTAAGACTGATGCAGCCCTGTCAAAAAAGTGCAGCAGATGGTTTTGCACTGCCTTCTCCAGCATCTAGTGATGCCCTCCTGCTTCAGCTCTCCCCTCACTCTGCGTATTCACACCATTCTCCCCCAGGGCAGGGTGAAGGAGAGAGAAGTTCCCCCGTTCCCTCATAAGTGCTTTACGTGCTCCTAGAAGACAGGCTGCCATCTGGCCTAATGAGCTTTGGAACAAACTGCCTTTAAGACAACTTTCCTTTACCTGCAGTGACGCTCCTTTGGTGGTTGTTTACCAGCACCCCGGTCAATTAGGCTGTAGTTTAAGATGCATCACAGTTGTTGGTTTTTTTCCCTAGAAATATCAATGTAGGTAGTGTTTTCCAATAAGTGGACATTAATTCATGCTGAATTACAGTGGGATTCCCAAGAAACTATGTATGAATACTGAAAGAAATCATTATGATTAATGATATAATTTATATGTGCATGTTGATGAAAGAATCATAATCTAGAGTAAATTAGTAGAGATTTATGTACTAATAATTTTGTTGTGCTCTAAGGTCCAGATGAAAACCAACTAAGTGATGTTGTATTGACAGCCAGTTCATATTAGCATATCTTAAAGGGATAGTATAATAGTATCAAATAAACAATTTCTAATGCATATTAACTCCATTTAACTTTTTTCCCCCCTCCCATAATCTATATTTATGGCATTGATAGGAGTAAGGGTTCATCCCTTTCACCTTCACATACATGCCAAAGAGTCAATGTGAAGGAGATGACTGAAAATATTTAAACATAAAATAACTGACTTTTAAAAAAGAGTAAATTAACTGACCTGATCCATCCATGTACTTCTGAGTGCGTGAAGGCCATGTGGCTGCATGCAGGGAAGAGGAATTTCAGGACAGCTGGTGCAGCTCTCCCCAAATCCCACGGTGTCCCAGGTCAGTGCCCAGGACAGCCATGGCAGCACCCTACACACCCCCAGCCACCCACAGTGCTGCAGATGGCGGCACCTCGCCAGCCATCACAAATGCACAGCACAGTCTTTGATATCTTAAATGCAGCCTTTATTGCTTACTGCAGATAATGCAGCCCTGCCTCGGGAGAACTGAGGCCAAGAAGTGAATTTGTGCTTAGTTCTCCATACAGGAAAACACCAGCAGAAGCATCTTTCTTACTGGTAATACTTTTTCAAGTGCTTATTGCATAAGCTGGAGTGCAGCTGAAGCTGAAGGTAGTATGGGCCTCTTCAAAACTGTGTGGCAGAGGCCATGTACCAGTGTCACACAGTCACCTTGTGGGGTTTGAAAGGCCAGCTCATGGTAAACACATAAAGTACAGTGCGTTACTTAATATTCTAAAGAGATGGCTGTGAATTGTTTTACATTAATCACTAAAGCAAATGTTTATAAAATGTATCTCTGTATAATAACTAACTGATCTTACCTCTGAAATTCTTATGCAAAATAGAAAGTGGAATGTGAAATTATCTATTCCAATTTATTTTTAAAAACAAGGATAAATTGCTGACCTAGCAAAATCTGCAATATTTTTTTCCTAGGGTGCTTTTAGTACTTAATCATACTTTTCAAATATTTTTTTTTTAAAGAAGTGGTACAATCTCGTCAAAGTAGTCTTATCTTTCTGTAATAAGATACATTATCAATCTATATCAACTCAGATGGAACTCCTCCCCAAGGAATTTAGAGCCTTAACTGTTTGCAGTTTTCAAGAAGAAAACATCCCCTGAGCTATGTGTCCAAGACTGTAGTGATGTGATCCAACAGCAGGACTACTACTGTACATTAGTAATTTAAACAAGATCCAGAATTTTTCCTCCCGTATCCTCCCTTTTAAGTTACATATTTTAACTTTTTGCTGCTGGGGACATAGTTTTGTAGCTCAGAACTGAGTACTAGAGGCAACATTTAAATTTTATACGAGCTGTTTATATATCTGTTCATAACAAAGCCTGCTGGAGGAATTAACTCTCTTCTACAGGGAACCCAATGCGAATTTACAAAGGAGAAATTACTAATAACAACATTTCTAATGAAAACCAGTCTGTGTCTAGCCATTTTACCTAGCTATTACTTATGGAACCTGTAGCCACCACTAGACGTTATGCAGAATACCTAACTAATTTTCAAAATCCTCACTTAAACCTTAATTCAAGGGAAAGACCTCTTGATCTTACAAAAGGCATTATTGCCGGAGATTAAATTGCTTGATGCTATGTATTGTTCTAGCTGTAGTCAAGAGGGAATATTAATTGAGATGTTCCATGGATTACAGTGTGTATTCCACAGTGGTTCACATGTTTCCTGGTGGTCTTTCCAACAGGAATAGCATAAATGAGGGGAATAAGACGGATCATTTTGAACCTTAGTTGTTAAGCCATTGTTCTGTTGTGCACAAAAGGTAATGCTTGGTTGATTTGCTTTATTTCTGAGCTGTTCTGATTTTTTCCCTGTGCACCTAATCTCTGCCACTTCCTCTGTGAGTCATCAGCAGCTGGACCCAGTGAAACCACAGGAACTAGCTCCTGGTAAAGAGCTCTAATGGTGCTATTACTCAAGTTCAATTCTCTTTAAGCCTAGTAAAGAAGCATCATGAGTCATATGGTACAGACAAGAGTTCTTTTGCATTTGCTTCTTTAGGAAAATCAAAACCCATGCCTTGCTTTTTCAGAGTGATTACAATGGTTGTCTCTTATACCTATCTCACTCTGCCTGTCCTTTGCAGCAACGAAGTGTCATTTTCCTTTCAATTCTTCATTATTTTTTTCTTGTACTGTTGCAGTTGCATCGCCTATAATTTAAAGACAGTTCTTAAAAATGAAACAAAACGAAAATTCACCATCATTTAGCTCTCTCCTTTCTGGTCGTTTTCATTGCACAGAAGTGCAATGTGACTCACACCTCCGATTCAGCTGATTTGATTAGTTGTTGCTGCCATACACCTGCTGCTGTCACCACAGTAGTCTGTATTTGTGGCATACATTCCTGCTGTCTGACAGAACAGGTGGATATTGTATAGTAGATTGAAAAGAATGGTTTTAATCATAATTGTTCTGCATCCCTGCTTACACAAACTCAGCAAAAGTTGGGTCTATAAAATGAGTCTTGTGATTTGCCTTCAGTAAATAGGGTAGTCAAGTATCCTAATTTTAAACTAAAGCAAAATTTTTAATTTCAGAAGAGAATAAACTCCTCAGATGAACTTTACAGTAAAATGGCTGGAAATTTTTTATAACTTTTTTTAATTTCTGATTCTCAGGCATTTCTATACAAGACAATTTGAAGACTTCAGAGAGCGCTGGGGGATCTCTTTGACTCTTGGTAGGAGTTCCTTTCCTCTCCTGCAATTAAAACAAGTCATTCTTAACATTTAAAAATGGTCCTTATTAAAAGAATGTCTCAGTTATTATCCTCTCAGACTAGCGTTTTGCCTTCTGATGAAGTCTTGCATGCTGGTTGAAGGAGGTTTACTTGAATTGTAATGCAATGCTGCTCAGGGATGGATAGTCTGTGACAATCTGTAACACTGGGCAGCAGGAAAAGAAAGGGAGTTTATTTTTCAGAGTGTCGAATGGAGGGAACTATATGGCAGTTGAAAAAGATCTTCTTGCAAAGTGTAGGGGTACCTCTGACCATACAGGTCTTTGAATTATCCTTTAAACATGAAATGGGAAGAACCTAAAATCCCACACACTTTCTGAGTCAAAAGTACTTCAGTGAAAAACTGAGGGACAGTACAAGTACCATTTAAATGGTAGGAAGAAATGGAGACCCCAAATACGGAAAATATGAAACCTCTCAAGGAGAGGTAAAATGCAATTGTAGTCTCTCTAAATCAGAGAGTTTATTTATTAGCACAGTTGTATTTTAATGAATTAAGAGCTCTAATACAGACACTCCCAAGTTGCAACCCGCATATCACAAGAGACACACAAGAGCCTGCACCCTGATGTGAGCCCGTGTGGAGCTGCAGGCTGAGGCTGCTGTCACCACTGCTGCTGATGGCAGTACTTGGCAAGAAAAAGTTTGAAAATCATAGTCCTAAGGGATGAACAGTTTTCCCTCTCATTCAAGATAATTTTTAGGCAAGTAGTGCAGCTCATCTAAAGCACACACATTATTCCTCTGGTTTGAACAAAACCAAATGTTTTGATGTTTTCATACAATAAATGCCATCTAAATACCAATATACCAGCAGTGCCAAGATTTAAAATTGATTACTTCTGCCTATTTCTCCAGCTAGCTATTAAATTTGCAGCAGATTGTAAATCATGGTCCTGTACAGGAAAAATTCAACAAATATTTGAAGAAAATGTTGTGCACATTTTTAATGTGCACTTCAAATATGCAGATCTGAGGTGCTGTGTTACAGAAGAATTTTTCTTAAAGCAGGAAAAAAGCATAATGAGACAAAATTTTAGGCAGACCATGATTCTACATTTTGGAAGTTTCCACAAAGTTTTATGGCATCTATTTCAAATTAATATTTCATTAAACTAATTTCAAGTGCTATCTTTAGAATGATTAATTTGATACATTACTTCAGGTTCTACCTTTTGTCTATACAGTCCACATTAATGTTTTGGAATCATGCTACCAATGATTTTTCAATGCTCAGAGGATAGGATGGAACCGAAGAGCTTTCAGTTTTCATCCAGTTCTAACAGATGTATTTGATTTATAGTAGAAGCTGGTTTCATATTCTTAAAAATGTTGTAAACAATTTGCAGCTGCTTGATTTTTTGATGCCATCATAAATATTCATGATCTTTTTCCAAGATCTACAAATATAAGGTGACCTTAGACAAAAAAAAAAAAATCAGACTTGGGTAGTACAGAGTGTTAAGTCATTGCTTTTTCACCTTTCTAAGAACTACAGAGACAGCTGCAAAGTGTGAGCCCAACATCACATACAGGGTTTCTGGAAAATGTAGTGCCATGGATTTTAAACAGAAACAATGAAAAGCCACTGCACTATGTCAGCAGAGAGCCTGATGACAGAGTTTGGCATAAACACAGTGGCCTGGCAAGAAGTCACTGCATCTGTAATCAATAGCTCTGAATGTGACCTTTAATAACGTTAGTAAACATTTTTCAGCATGTCATAGCACAGTTTTCTGACCATAATGGAAAGGAAAGGGAATGACTGCTGGAAAATGGATGAAAGTATTAAAAAAAAAAAAAAAAAAGAAAAGCAAAACTGGTAAATGGCAAATCTAACTATTCTGTTTGCAAACCTATTAAATGTTCAGCAATTAAAACTGACACTAAAGCATACAAAAAATATTACATTGTGTCATATCTCATTACACAATAGGATATTGTATTATCATAACTTTATGTAACTAACAGGTACATTTTGCTCACCCTTCAGCAAAGCTCTCTATTTCTTTACCCCCTTGAGATTTTCTCCTTTACTATTTTCACAAACTATCTAAAACAGGTACGTTTGTGTTTCAGGTGAAATTTTTATGGTTTTTAAGACTAATTGTAGAGAGTATATGGAGACAGTAATTGCATCAGTACCTCAAGCCAGTCAGATAAGATGGGGATGGGAAGGTAGGGGTCCTGACTAAAATGAGAAGATGTAAGAAAAGACTTGAGAAGGTGAAATAATTCCACTCAGGAAGATGCAGGACTTTGAGGGTGTTGATCTTCAGTGGCATAAATTGCTTAAAGTGATGCTGAATTACACCATCTTGCCTTAAACATTTGGGTCATCTGATATGTAATTTAAGCATGGCCTATGTGACTGAGATTTCTAATGATATATCTCAGCAAGTAATGACTAAAATGACACATTAGTGACAAAACCCAGGATTTGTCCCAAAATTCATAGAACACATTTTATACTAACGCACTGCATCCACAACACATCTTTTTCCTGGGGTATTCACAAGGTTTAAATAAATTACAGGTAATATTTTCATAAGTACACATATGATTTAGAAATTCATGCCCCATTTTTTAAATTGAAGGAAAGTGTTTAAAGTGATTTCAAAGGGATTGAGGTGATGAAACACTATAAAAAGAGTCCTACCAAGCTTCTCTTATGTTCAGTATCTGACCATAAATGCTTAGATGTCCCTTTGAAGGTCAGGGAGATCTAATGTATTAAGCATCCAAGTTGCTTTCAGAACAGTGAATTAGACCCCTAAATAACAAAAGTGATTTTGAAAATGAGATCTAACAAAATCCTGTAGATATGCTGGGTTTAGTAGGGGTATCTGAAAGACTCACCTGGAAGTCTTAAAAGCTTTAGAAGCCCTTGACAAAATCCTATAGCCTTTGTGTATCAACATCAGAATGTAAATTGAGTACAGTCCTGTAAACAGAAAGAATAATATAAGTTGATCTGTTTTTCCATGTTTATTCCCAAAATACCACGCAGCCTGAAAGAAAAGTTAAGAAAAATCCAAGTAATTTCAGAATAATTCCCTCATACTCAGCAATATGAATGTCATATGGCTCAAAACCAAGCAGCACAGTGAAAATTGCACCACAACAATGCCATCACTACTGCCTCTGCTTTCAGGTTTCAGAAAACTTGTATTAAGACTAAAGAGAAAACTTTCAGTCCAAATAAAGAGATTAAGAATAATCTACTGAGAACTGAAACAAGCTTATGTTTTGATATATTTCTATATTTCTTTTCTGATGTGAAGTCTTTTAAGAGAAGACAGCAACATATGAGTTATACATCAAACTGATTATTCATTTTTATAGGACTCAATACTCCAATATGAAAAGTCTAAATTTCTTTTTTCTCTCTGTGGCTTTAATACAATTTGTCTTATGCCTATAAAGCCTGGAGAACTGGTGCAATAAATTAAGGAAACATATTTGACAAATAAGTAGACATTTTCCAAGTAAATTTTTAGCTGTGTATATGAAAATTTTTCATGACAGTGAACAGTATTTAGACAACAGAATGATCTAAAGAAAATGTTCATTGTTGGAAGAAAATTAAGGGAGCACCTCTGCTTGATTTTCCATGACAATATCAGTCAGGTAAGTCTTATCCATCTGAGAGTGCTCTGGATGGTTGGATGTATTATTTGTTAGTGTTTCCTACACCAAACGTGGGAAGCATGAAACACTTGGGTAGAAATGTGGTTAATATGGAACCATGCCTGGGTACCTTTATGATTTTTCCCCTTATGCACCTAAACCATACTTTTATGCAAGCTACTTTTGGAGCTGGATAAAGTACACAGAGAGATATTTTATTTTAAAATTAAAAAGAAATCAAGCCCTATTCTCAGTAAGTCATATCCTTTTTACATTTCACAGACATGACATGTCATTAGGAAATGGTGCTACTCTTGGTTACATTGGCATGTCATGTTACAGTACATTAGAAAACATGATGTGCTGATATAACCATGCATGACCATTATCCGAATGACACGTTACATTCTGGCAGTTCAGAAAGAGGCACATTTAGGTCTCAGTACACATATTTTGCATATATCATAATCTATACATGCAAAGTGCAAAAGATTGGAAAAAAAACACAAAGGAAATAGTGCAATCATGAAGTTAAATCATGCTTTATTCAGTGTTCATCCAAATTCACATCTCAGTCTGCCCTTATATTGAGCACAGTCCCTAACTGATCATTTATGCAAAACAAACCTCAAACAAATATAAATAATTATCTTTGAATATTAGAAGAAAACAGAATTACTTTTTATTACCTCCATAGTTGTTACAGTTGATCTTTATATTTTATTCGTTCTCGACTTTTGGTGTGCGTTAACATCTGAGACTCATCACGCTGTCCGGCATTTCAACAGAAATGATGTCACTGGTGCCAAATACTTTGACAAACACGGCTACTGCATAAATCCAAAGAACTGAAAGACCAAACAAATTACGTTTACAATTAGAAACAAAATGAGTAGTTCGTACCATAAGTTTAAGTATGTTAAACACAGACTTTCTTTCCAGAAGGAAGACATTGACTGAAAACTGTAAAAGCAGGCAATTCTTTTTTTCCCCTCTCTTTGACAGTCTGGAGGAGCTTTTGATCTTCCAGTGTCCGTTACAACCTTGGGGAGGTTAAGTTAACCCTTTGAACAAACACTCCTACCAGCATCCAATTCACTCAAAGTACCTTAATCACCAGCTAACTTGAATTCAAACTGCTCTAGAGAACATGAACTGACATAACTTAGCTCTGATGAAAAGGAGATTAAAAGGCCTGAATTTGATGTTGGCATGCACTGAGGGGCCCAAACTCCTGATTTCAACTTTGGAGACACCAGGCAGTGTGATTTCATTGCACAGAAGTGTTGGTGCACAGTTGGCCAAGGTGCAATTTGTGTGCCAGTCGTGCAGAGACCCACAACAGTGACTTCCTCTTGCAGTGCTGACTGGAGGCAGTGTAGGACAGGACAGCATCAGAGGACAGCCCTGTGCAACTCTGTCATTTCCCACCCTGGTGAGGGAGCAGAGGCAGCAACTGCAGAAAGTACTTCAAGTACCATCCCTTTTCTTCCTGTGCACCCATCCAAAATTGAGCAGGCTTTTCAAGAATTGTTTTGTTAAAGATATAATTCAAAAGGGAGTTATTCAATTCAGTATTGACCACTCCCACCAGGAATTCATAAAAGCAGCATGGCTTTACCAGTCTGACAGGGTAGAGATCCAGGAGACTTCAAGGACACAGGTTTATCAAGCAGAATAGCACTATAAGCTCTGGATTTCTCTGCTGCCAGCATGTACCTACCATTACAGGAGTTGTGATCAGTGATTTCTCCAAAAAGAGTGTAAACAAAAGAGGATGATAAAAGGATGTAGAGAAGCACCAGTTTCTGCTATCAGGCCTAAACCTGGCACTGCAGCAGTTCCAAGGGGTGATAATTGCACGGGGAATTTCTGTGACATAGACACTAATTCACATTATATTCAGCTTAACCATGTAACCACCAAACAGCTGTAAGTAAGATGGGATGTGCATACCAAGATAAGTTTACTACCTAAAAAAGACAGACAATGATCTTAGCTGAGACTTGCCAATCGCTGTTTAGAAAGTAAGACATTCAACAGAAAGATGTATTTCAGCTAACATACAAAAGAAAAGATGAGATTCTAGTTTATAAATAAAATGGCAAATAACCAAAGAAATCACAATGTAGCAAAGGTGTCAGATAAGGATTTGAGTCCTTTAATCACACTGCTAATAAAGTTTAAATAAAATTAAGTCACCCATCATTTATTATACTAAAAGTACAAGTTCAAATATTAAGCTAAAGTATTCCTAACTCAGCTTTCAGTTGGGTCCAAAAGCATTCATCTGCACTTGATATTGGTGAATACTTTCACACCAGCAACTATTACTTTCAGCCCTCAGGTATAATGTCTTGCACCCAGAAGCAGCAGGAACACATTGGAATTTTTTCCCACACACAGGAATATTAGCCTTGATACAACTACAATATCTCTTTATGCTTAACCGTGCCAGTATTTCCCTTTTGCTTTCCACCACATGCCTTTGTGTAAAATCCCTGTGATAAAATTAAAAGGACAAGGAGCTTTATAAAATGAATAATCCTACTGAACATGCAATCAATTAACTAAAACATGGAGATGGATATTTTCTGAAAGCTCCTTACAGGCTCTAGACAAACACAGTGAGATAACAATGGAAAATTGTTTGGCTTACTAATTGTAACCAAATGTATGCCATTCTATCAAAACATTCTCAGGAGGATGTCAAAGACATTTTAAAGTAAACATCTTGTGTCATCCTTTTACTGAAGTGAAACAAGGGTCTCCAATAAAAATCCTACATATCAAGGACCCTCAAAAAGGTTTATATACGTATTACTGATCTTTGAAAATGCAGCTTGAGAGGTACATTAATAATTTCACCCAGCTGGGCAATAAACATTCTTGCCAAAATAATTATGTAAAATTACACAGACCCTTTTTAAAGAGAATAAGTTTCAAGAGGACAAAGTATAGACAGAGTGACTTCACTTTTTTTTTTTACAGTTGTGTTTTCTGGAAAGCAATTTAGTGTGTAAAATCTCTGTCCTTGTAAAATACTGCAAAGAGAAGCCAAAATTCAAACCTGTTTGTAATGCAGAATTTTAAAATACTAGAAAAGTTTACCAGTGAGAAATAAACAAGCCTCAACCAAACAAAAAAGCTTTTCACAGCTGAAGAAATAGATAAAATAGCAATGAACAGCTAAAGGCAAAGACTTTCATCAAGGCATACTTAAACCTTTAAATACAATACATGTCCAATGGGAACTACCAAATAAAGCATTCGATCATTCTTAATTTGTGGATTACTGTGTTGGACTCCTCTGCTGAAAAGTAAAAACCAGTTAAAATCTCACATTTTTCAAAAGAACCCATACGTTGTAGTAATGTGTCCAATCTTGGAACTTACACTAGCAAAACATTCAAGAATATTCCTATCTAAACTTCACAGGAAAGCATGGTGCTTAAGCAAGTAAGCAAAAATTAAGAAAATGAAGGATAAACAGAAGTATTTTGATAGATAATAAATAAACTTGCTCTAGAAAAACTGTCTTTTATGGGTAATTCACAAAAAATTTCAAAGATTTTGGGAAAAATTACGAAAGATTGCTAGGTACCAACTTATTTCCCATAGCTCTCTATCAGTTCTGACATCTGAGAACCAAGGTTGCGGGGAATGTTCCTAAAACTATTGGGAAAACTAAGCTATAAGAGGCTGAGACTGCAACTGGCTGAATTACCAGCCTCAGGAAGGCAGGAATGCCATGACATTTGTTCTCCTTTTCATTTTCTTTCCTCCTTCTAGGCAGTGAACAGACTAAACTGAGAAGTACAGAAGTGTGAAAAAAATTGGGAACTTTCTTCTCGTCCTTTTATCCTTCAGAAATCTGACTATCTGCAAAAACAGAAGAAAAATCAAAGCACAACATAAAAGTTTTAGCATAAGAACAACTGGATAAGAGCAAAGGTCTCTCAGGCAGAGTCCTACTTCCAGCAGCAGCCAGTGGCAGAGGCGGGAGGAAGAGGAGAGGAACCAGGCTTGTACATAAAGATTCCTGTGCTTGGCTGTACTTCTCCAATCACTGGCTGCCAGCATGCTTGGGCTTCCTTCAGTGGAGACTGCTCTAAGCCAGGATGTTTCACAGCTCCCTCATGGCCCTCTCAAAGGATAGTATGAGACAAAATAGAAATGACTATCAATGAGAGTAAAGACAAAGAAAATTCAGAGAGAAAAAAACTCTGAGGCAATTTAGTTTTGAAGGTGAGACAAGGAAAGGGGTTTTAATTTTGTGCCTAGGCATAAGAATACAAGACACACACGTGCCCCTCTATACAGATGCTACAATTTATAATATTGTCTGTCCAGTCCCAGGTTTTGTCCACCCACTGGCTTTTGCCCTGGACCACCCTCAGTCACACCCCTTGGGAACTGGGGATAGGGTCTCTAAGACCACCTCTTCATCAATCTTCATCTTCTTCAGGGTACAGGGGGCATATATTCACCCAGTTTTTGACTGTACTTTTGCAGTTCAGGCCAGGATTAGATATCCTTTAACAGAAGATGCCTATCTTAAAGAGAGACATTTCTACTGGAATTTAGGGGGTAGAATTGATATGGGGAGCATGGAATGGGGTAATAGGGTTGGGGCATGTGTGTAGTTTCTGTGCTAAGTGTAAGGGAATAAGTCATGCTGCTTCTAAATCTACTTCTGCTATATAACTACTTATAAAGCTTGTAAAAATTAGAAAAAATCAAAAATACAGATGGACCTTAAGGCATCAGAGTAAGAGGATATTCACTAGAAGAGCAGTCATTGCAGTGTGCTGGCTCAAGGACCAAACCAGAGAAGAGGTTCTTAACTCCACATAAGGAATTGCAAATTGCATTTGTTCAGTCACCGAAGGCTGATTCAAAGGTCATATAGGTTTAGTGTAATGCCAAAGCACTGCAATGCATTTCTAATTGTAAAAATGTTAGTTGTGATTTAAAAAAAAAAAAATAATAATTTTTAGTATCACTTCTTTGAATCCAGACACATAGTGAGTTGTTAGTCTTGAGCATAGGCAGACAAAATTTCCATAGAAAACTGAGTGGTATGTACAATGTGCAGTTCAAAACATATCACTAAAACATAGTAATGAGAAATTAAACCAGAGTTAAGGGCATTACATGACTAGATGAAAGATAACCAACAGCATTTTTTATAATTCCTTTATAATTTCATAAGAGAAAAATCAACGACAATTGCAAGTCAGCCCTAGAATTGCTTCAGCTTCACTGGAGATGTGGTATTAATGATATGACCTAAAGAATAGAATAATATGAAATGGATAGCTGAAATATCAGAGGTAAGAGAAGTTTGCTTTGTTTGTTTTGGTTTTTTTTCAATTGCTGCTAGCAATATCCAGTAATAAATTTAATAACCGACAGCTTAAAAATAACCCTTTGGTTCCACACATACCTTTTTTTAATATCTGCTGTTCACTATTACTTCTTATATGCCTGGTGTTTCCTTTCAAACTTTCCATCCAGACCAGAGCTACACAAGATGCATAGGTTCAGAGGGACTATTTAAACACTGATCTAAGTTCCAGTTAAATGATTTTACAAATTGAGATTTCACTGTGCATTTCAGGCTTTTAACCAACAGCAAAACTTCAAGCAAAACTTCATCATAACATATAAAATTATTGAAGTTTCTAAAACAAAACAAAGTGCCCCTCCAATATTGTGAAACAAGAGGTTATGTCTGCTATACTTAAAGAATGAATTGGAAGCATTTCACTTTTTCACTCTTTTTGTGGATTTTTATTGTTGACATGACAAATCTGTTTATAAACATGAAATCCATGTACAGTTTTGTAGAAAATCAAAATCCCTTACTATAATATACAGAACTAGGTAGATTCACTACCTAGTGGACTAGAATAGTCCACAGAAATGAAGTACTTATGGGCACACAGATGTATACATGTATATACACACACATACAATTCTATTTCTACTGGCTCCTAATTTTAGCATGTCACAGTGGAATTACTGCAACAATTTTGCTATTAGACAGGACTTGATTACCAAGCAAGGGCAGAATTTATAGCCTCCTAATTTTAAATTCCTACCATCTGAGCACATATGTCAACTTAAAAAATAAGTTACTGGTTACTAGCACATTGTTGTGTCTGTTAGCTAAACTTAGCGAGACACAGGGGAGAAGGTATATTAGAAAAAAATTGTATTTCAGTTAGAAAGGGGATCATAATAATGAACAACATGTAGATTTGTATAAAAATATATCTACTCAAGATTTAAAAGGAATCAAGATTATGTAAGCACAACACCCCCCCACCTATGTATACATGCACATCAGTGAAACATGCTACAATTAAGATTTGCAGCTACTGAGAATCAATACCAAATTTTTTAAAGTTTGAAGAGAGAGTTAAGAACATTTTATACAAAATCTGAAATAAATACTTTTTGTGATGTTGTTCTGGGCTGCTCCATGACAAAGAGAAATCATGACCTTCATTTCATACTCCATGGGAGGTGTATCAACCTTCCAGCATTTCACAGGCTCCCACAAAGTCTTTGTGTTTCCAAACTTTCCATGGCTAAAGCAAGGCATGGATGCAATTCAACAGCCAAAATATTATTACAAGCAGATATCAATACTGTCTAAATGGCATGGGAAAGGGCTTCATTAGGATCTTTTACCATAACTTGTTAGGTAAAACTGTTCAAGTCACTGTTGGGAAATTCTTTGGTGCTAGATTCAAGCTGCTCTTTGGACAAGCTAAAACTTCAAAACTACCTCACCTTTTGGGAAGGGGAACTAATTAGTTAGGAAGAGAATCTATTTTCATGATGTACCAATAGAAATGTAACTGCCAGTCAGAAAATTTACCTTTTCTTAGATGGGATTGTTCCGTTCTCCACGTTACCATACCGACCATTTTAGAATTGCTCAGGTAGATAGCAAGCAACATGAAATTATTCATTAAGACAAATGACTACAACCTTTTGCCTAAATTCATGCAAATTTAACTCCTTACAACATAAATTATTCCACTACCTTCATTGCAATTGATTGGTCAGTTATCAGCCAGTATGAGTGAAAATGGCAGAATCAGGCCCAATGCAACCTACAGGAGACAGATTTTTTAATAGTTGCCCTAAACACATTTTTGTCCTCTCTACCAAAGTTTGGCAGCAATCTTTCAGTGTATTTCATTGAGATATTTTATATGAATGAGATACAGAATTTTCTGGCTCACAGTCTGGAATCTCCTTCCATAGATCTTGGAAGGAATTGACACAGTAATTAATGAATGTTTTCCAGTTTCAGTTTATGCTCTTAAAACAGCCTGCTATAACAATCTAGGGGTTCATTTCTAGTTTTATCTGGATGACAAACTGTATTCTAACTTCTGTGGTTCAGACTATGTTTTCAAAATTTAAAGCTCAAGATTCAGACACCATAATGTTCTGCCTTTCCTATGTTCTCCTCCTCCTCCACCTCCTCTGCTATAATTTGTTGTCCTTCTCAAAAGAGATTTTTTCTTTTTATTTGTTATTTTTCTTTTATATGCAGCCCTTCACTCAGCCTTAAGTTCAGAATAAAGTCCTCTCTTGAAATTAAAATGCAATTGAATAAATTAAGTAAGAATGGAAAGGCCTTAACAATGTTTTCAGATACTTCTTTCTTTGTTAAGGAGAAAAATATTAATAAGAATTCTAGCCAGAAACTGCACTATGTTTCTGTTGTGATTAACTCCATTCTTTCTCTGATTTGCTAGGCTGTGTCTGAGAGCAGCTACTATGGCAGCCTTTTGCTCCCTGTTGTATTTTGGAACAGGTGAAAATATTTCAGCTACACTGTGTGGCCAGATTGGAGTCACCTGCCAAGACATGAAGAAGTGGTATAGCTCAGGGGTAGGTTTCTCTAGGAATGTAATGGGATACCCAGTGCAGTTCTGAGTGGACACTCTCAATAAACCAGTTGTGTTACATCTATTTTGCAGAGACTTCAGAAATGGCAAAGAGAAATGGTTTCAGCAGGAGATAATGGGCTTTATGACTTTTCCCAAATTATTCCCTTTTTAGTAGCCATCATCTTGTCGGGTGACATCTGGAATGATTAGAGGACGATATCTTAGACTGACAACTGGGCTGTCATTCACACTGTCAGTCAGCAAACATCCAGGTTGCCCAGGGTTACAAAGCTAGTTTATGCCTTTGTCCTGTAGTATTTAGTGCTGCTGATTCTTTACCTTGATTTCAGATGAAGCAGTTCTGACAGCCAGCGCCAGAGGCAGGCAGAGAGCTCGTGTTGATGGTGGGAGTCCCGTGGTGCCTTTGTGTGCGAAGGTTTTAGAGCTTCAGTGGCAGCACATCAGGCAGGAGACAACCCCAGAGTATTAGAGTGGGCCTAGTAAGTTCATCTGCTTTCAAAAAATAGAAAGGCAATGTTTATCTCTGCCCGAGGAACACATCTAATTATTTTAACCTTATGTACCTGAATGGGAGCTTTCTTACAGAGCCCAGGTGTCGGCAGAATTGTTATCCTAAACAGACCTGAAAATGAAACAGCTCAAAGCAACCTTGTGGTCCAAGGATGAGCAGCCCCTGTGCATTCCCCAGCAGGCAAGAGAGCACCCTCACCAAATTAGCATCAAGAATAAATGTGCTCCACAGCAACAACTTGACGTTGCTCAGCCATTCCTCAATACACAGTTTAAATGCCGTTTCACTCACTCACTCACTGTCTGTGCACATCCCCAGTCGAAACAAAGACCTCTGACTTTCAATGTTTCAGTTTGGGAACCCAGTTTTAGGCATCAAAATTCTAGTTTTCAAAAGGAGAAATACCCTACAGTTGTCAGTGTTGTGAGCACGTACCAGCTCTGATACTCAAGACCTAGAACACAGTAATCAGGAAATCAAGAACCAGAGCACCAAAGACAGCTTGCCTGCAGCTTTTTCTTTGCCTCAGTGCATTGTTTTAACACAAAACTAGTATTTCTTACAGAAATACTGAGGGAATGGAATATTCAAAAAGCCTAATAATTTTAAACTAACAAATGAGCTTATAAATTGAGATAAAGAATGACTAACATCAGTCTGTTATTAGTAAGAAGGAAAGTAACTCACCATTATTTTGGTTGCAGACAG